AACGCAAATTGATGTTTCAATATTAAAAATCGGTTATAAAATAACCAAGATACAGTTGTTTTCATATAAGCTGAGTTAGAAGCATTGGTTGAAAAATTGCCATATATTTTCTATGAGAAAATCAAAAATTTTCCACTTAAAACTTTAACTTTAAATATCTAAATAACAGGGTAAGATAGAAATATTAATTTATATACCAAATTACGCATAATTTATCTGAGAATAAGATCCTGAAGTCAGAACCAAGATAGAATTTGCGGTTTTGAAGTAATCTAGCAAAAACCTGTCCTAGTTATGCCTGTCCATAGCTGTATATAGCTGATAATGGATTGCAATGGACTGTTGAGAGTGCGCTATCATATGTGGCTTATTGGTGGTTAGATTCATGTGCCGGTATCAACAGTATTTTATATAACTGTAAGTTATTGTGTTTTTTGTTTAAATTGTGAATATATTCTTGATATTAAATGTGTCAAGTGAAAATATTGCTGCAATAGGTGAGAATATTACAGTATATTCAATATACATGTACTATATTGTAAGTATAATGCTTTGTATAAGTTAATCAGCGTGCAATTTAATAAGATTGATTTTGTTTGCATGTTGAAATAAGATACTGTACAACATTTATCTTAAACATGAGATTTGAATAGATATTATTTTACGACAAGCTAAGTCATAAAGATTACAGTTATATTTTACAAACTATTGAATTGTATTAATATACAATAAATATTGTTCAATAAAAACGTATAACACACGCATTAATGCAATTCATTTGCGATAATATTATACAGAATATTCTGTCATATGATAAATCCTGATATACTGTATCACTAAATGATGTTAAACAAATATTTTTAAAATTATATACTTCAATATAATATTATTACTTTTAATGGGATATACTGGCAAACTAGCACCATTAGTGATTTTGTTATATAATGTGAATCAATGCACTAAACTGTATGTGAAAATAATGTTTATATTCTCGCATAAGAATTGACCACAAGTTGTGTCATGTCTACCAGTGGTGAGCGCATGAGTACCAAAAAAAGTCAATTCTATGTAACTATAACCTCATTGAAAAAAATATTAAAGTTAAATATATTGTAACTTTTTTTTGCTAAATTTTGAATAAATTATTTAATATTCCTGGCTCCAATTTAATGATTAAGTCGCTTATGAATTCCTGGAAATATTGTTGTTTTTACACAATTTATATCGAGAAATAATTTTATATGAATTAACACATTATACTTTTATCTCATTGATTATACGGTGGTTGCAAATTTTAATAATAAACACCAATTTAGATAAAACTTTTATAAATAATAATTATTTTGTACTGTACTAATATGTATTTATTTAGCTATAAATATGTGATGCAACATTTTAGCAACTATTCTGTTTAGTTATAAATATAACTTAATAGTAAATATATCTTAATCACTGTATATGGTAATTTACTGGATATGGTACATATAACTTGGTACAAACAATGCAATATGATGTTATAATACTTTTAAACTGCATAAACTGCAAACAATGCATTATTACTGAAGATGTATCTGCAATTTGTGCAATTTGTAATTAGTGGACGTTTTGTCTACGTTATCTAATTATCATAAAATAATAATTCAATAAAATTAATTGGGTTAATTTATATAATATATAGAATTTATATAAATTATACAATATAGTGTATACGTATATGTAGGAACTAAATTATATATATTTAAAGAACATATGGATTATAATTACAGTCTTATAAACACTACTAATCGACTTATTGATACCTGCTCCTCGTCCACTAATTCTTCGGGAGGGACATACTGTCCTGATTACAGTATTCATAATGGTATTGTCTGTAAGTACCGTAAATTATATCCAGTTTAATAAGAAAATATATAATTAATATATTAACACCTTTTATTACTCTATGGATTGAATGTTTAGTTGGATTTTCAAAACATTTTTCAATGCGGAATTTTCTCTACATGTTTACTCACTAGAGATGTTTACAGGGTGTTTACTACTTAGCCTTTCTGAGCAGGCTTGCGAACTTTTCAAACATAATAATATCTTTAGTAACTTAAATAACAATGAAAAGTTAAATAATATTTTTTAATGAATAGGAATTGGAGTAAAGAATTGGCGCAAAAGGAGTGCAGTTTCATGAGGGCTACCATCAAGACGTTTGGCCCTAAAATGATTTTCCCATTTCTTCTCATACTATTTGGCGTAATATTTATTTGAAATCCTACATTATTATTATTATATCTAATTTGTACCTTGATCATTATTTCGACAGGAATGTGGTTTAAAGATAGCTCAACCCCTGTTTCTCGGGTATGTGATCCGATATTTCGCAGACCCTGACCATTACGACTACCACACGGCGTGCTGGTACGCGCTTGGCGTAGTAGGTGTCACATTTCTACACGTGTCCACCTACCAGCCTGCTGCCTTATTAGCCGAAAGAGTGGCCGTAAAGGCACGGGTAGCATGGTGCACCCTTATGTACAAAAAGGTTTTGGATAATTCATAGTTTCAAACAAAATAATATAATAATTCATATTTGTTTATACGGAAAGGCATTGCGATTAAAGCACTCGGCGTTTAAACAGACAACTATCGGACAGATATTAAACTTAATGTCCAGCGATGTGAGCAAAT